GGTGATAGCACTCCCCTTCCACCGGTTGTACACCACCTTTTTGGCAATCAGGCATTCCTGTACACCCTTGGTGAGCCAAGGGGGCTTTCGAGCACTCCTGCCTCCCTTGGTACTTGTTGGGATGGTCACCCCTTGGGCCCTGCGTATTGTCTCCTTAAGGAACGACCACTCATCTTGGGCACTGAGCTCCCCTGCTCTAGAGAGCCCCAACGCCTCTCCCACTAATCTCCTCAACTCGTTGAAGTTGGCCCTCTTGAATAATGCAAAGTTGAAGCTTAGCTCAGCTCCCCTTCCTCCACTCTGTCTATCCAAGTAGCCAAAAGGCTTTGGAGAGATGGTGCTAGGGAGGGTGGGGAACTGCTTTATTCATCTGGATTAGAACTCAAGCCCCTAAATTGACTTAACCCCATAGTATCAAATGTCTTATTGCAAGGCCACAGTTTCTCTCTGTGGTATGACAAAGCATCCATCATTGTGGCATACAAGCACCAAGCTATGAAGTCACCATCCTGAAAGACAGATGGATGTCCTTCCCCATTATTGTCACACATTTCTCTTTCAACCTGCACCTTATTCTAAAAGAAGACAGAAAGGTCTCTGCTGCAAAGACCCTTGTATTATAAAGGTTATGGAGGGTCATCTAGTATAAGCCGTTTCAATACTATGTGCAGTTATTTCAGTTCGAAGCTGCTGGTTTTGACCTATAAGGTTCTAAACAGCCTGGGCCCTACCGACCTAAGGAACCGGAGGTGGTTTAAGCACCCACTTTGAACGCCTTCAAGACACTTTTGGATGTTTATCTTGCTGGGCTCCTATGATCCCTGCTGACTTCCTGCCCCTCGGGCGGGGGGCTGGACTCGATGATCCTCCGGGGTCCCTTCCAGCCCGAATGTCTATGAAATATATTCAACTGTCTTCTGCCTTACGCCCTATTACAATCCCTAAGTCAGGTGAGAGCAACTGGTGGAACAAGGGCCATCAGTACACGAGTCCATCTGGTAAAAATGTGTGGGAGTTGCTCTCACCAGTTGCTCTTCACCTCTGAAACTCGCTGCCTCTTGAGACCTACCAGAGCTTGAGCCTGGATGTCTTTCAGAAGCACTGCAAGACCCTTCTATTCGGGCAGGCAGTTAGCAACCAAAGCTAGGCCAAGATGTTGTTTAGTGGATCTCAGCTTTATTGTGTTTTATTTTGGGGTTTCTTTTGCTAGTTGCCCTTCGAAGTTGTTCTGTTCTCTTAATAGAATGCTGCCCTGAGCTTTTGGTGGGAAGGGCAGCATTTAAATTGTATAAATAAATCTGGCTTTGTTTTGGCCTTTAAACAAGGAGTCAAATTTATCCACTGAAGGAGCTTTGGACCAAGAAGCCCAAATTGCCTCTGCAATGTTTTTGATGGCAGGGAAACCAAATCCATCATAGCCTTGGCACTAGTTTTGATGGAGATGTATATAGCTGCCACTTGCCGAGCAGAACATGCAGACTGAGCCTTTGTAATGCAGCAAAGCTGTGAGATCAGACTGCAGTGCAAGCAAGAGCCTTTGGCATAATTGTTCTCCTTCACTGTGAGCTATCCTTACTGCAGAGGCAGGAGCACCTGTTGTCTTTTTACAGCTATAGTCAATATTCCAGATCTGCCAAGGATGTATCTAATGGGCTCCGGTCCTTACCTGCCCTGCCATAAAAGACCCATTAGTTAAAGGTTTTTTACATCATAGCAAATGTGATGCAATCTGCTGTGTGCTGTATCTTCAGTCTCTGTGCGTAAGTGGTAAAGAATGCAAATCCTAACTGGCACCTGGACAACAGCTAGTAGTTTGTACAAACAAAGCTGAAGGCTGCGCTCCTTGCTCCATATAATTGCAATTGTCAGTATTGGTGCTGGGCTGAGAAGTACCCGCCAGCGACTGACTTGAGTATTGTTGCTGTGAACAACAATTTCTGAATTAGGTATTGGTGAGGAGGATGTAACGTCTAGCAAGAGATTAAGAAGATGATCAATCAGCCCTTTGTTCTTGCTACAAGTGATTATACATTAAAAGAGGGTTAGCTCTTCTTAAAATGAGAGAGGCATTTAGGGCAAGGCCTCGGATTCGGTGATCTGCGTTCTGTCCCTGATGATGCCAGCCTTATGGTGCAATGGCTGGCAACTTGCCAAGCTATCTGCTTCTTTCCCATCTCTGATGCAGGGCTCATTCCTGCTTCATAGATGAGCCAGGGGCTTAAACAGGGCTGTGTGATGCTCACTGAGCTGCAGGAGTGCAATGCATTAGGATGGAGTTTGTTCCTGGGTTCTGAGTAAGGTGAGGTCTTTATTTGAACTGAAGACTAAACAGGAAATCTTCAGACCTAGTCTCCTTCTGGAAGGAGCAGCTCCCAGACCGCTCTTATGTTCAGTCAGTGCAGTCACAGTATGTACCTGAAAGTGTTAGTTAGCTCCCCTGGTTGAGTTACTGTACTCTAAACACAGGCTTCCTAGGCAGCTCTGTTTTCCTGTGGGCAGATTTAAGATTTGCCACACAGGATTTGAGCTGTGGTTTAACTTAGTTCAGTTGGCCAATGGCAGACGCTTCTGAATGGGCCTTAATGTGCCAGTTTTCTTAATGCTGCTTGTTGATCATTGTGTGACTTGAGCCATCACCCTCACAAGTTTCTTGATTTTTATCGTAGCTGGCCTGACTAGTGATCATATGATTGTAAATGTACACTGAAGCCAAGATTTTTTTCAAAAAACAGCCAGTTATCTACAGTGCCTCATAGGATCATAGGGCTAAAAGGGACCTCATCAGGTCATCTAGTTCAGCCCCCTGTTCAAGGCAGTATCATCTCTGACTTAAATCATCCAAATCAAGTGTCTGTCTAACCTGTTCTTAGAAATGTCGAAGGATGGAGATTCCACTGGTTCTCTAGGTAGCCTGTCCCAATGCTTAACTACCCTCGTAATGAGAGAGTTTTTCCTAATCTCCTATTCAAAATGTCCTCTGCTGCAGTTTGAGGCCATTGCCCCTAATCTGGACCCTTACGGCCACAGAGAATAGTCCATCTCTATCCTCTTTATAATCTCCCTCAATTTTGGTGTGCCATTTTTAAGGGTGCTGAGTTCTCAAAGTTGGTAAGCACTTTCTGAAAACCAGGATCATTTAAAGTGTCCCAGCAGGGCACCCCGATTACTATAGTTACTTGAACATCTTGGATCCAGCACTTCCTACATGGTGTGTATTTCATGGAGTGGTGACTTCTCAGGGTAATTATATCTACTGTAAACAGCATGTTCCTTGTATCTTTCTCAAATATATTGCCTTCAGTCTCATAGAGTTCCCTGGTGTTTTTGCAGCAATCAGTAAGGCTGTCTTTTTAATGTTGTTTCAAGTCAACCACAATCGACAAGAATTATTTTGTGTTGCTCTTAATGGTGATCCTCCAAATTGGAGAGATGACTGGGAAGCAGGGAGATAACAGGAGACAGTCCTACCAGTTAGGGACTAGATTGTCACTCCAGTGCTTTGTATATGAACTCTTTTGCCTATCTATACTGTCAGTGTCTAACACCAGCTTTTGCTAATAGGCCACCAAGGCATTAAGAGTTTGAGTGGCTCATATTGCAGGATCAGGTCCTTTAAAATGTCAGTTCCTCAAGGAAAAGTCTCTTACTGTCAACAGCTCTTAACAAATAATTCTTCACATAGGGTTTGTAATGCAGCTGTAGGCAATGTGAAATATCTGGCGTTGCCTCTGGTCGTTTTTCCTATAAAAGACTAGTTAGCTCATATACTTCCCTCATTGAAAATAGTTTCTGAGCACCCAGTAGTCAGTCCTCTCAGCCCCTTTGCAGATAAACAGATAATGATAATTACCTTAATTATGGATGGGAGAACAGAAGTGAAGATAGTTTAAAATGGCCACACCTAAGATTATCAAGGGAGCAGGGGCAGTGCAGGAGCAAAAGCTGGAAGTCTGCTGCAATCAATCCTGTGCTCTAGCCAATACCCTGTGCTGCTGGAGTGTGGCAATTCGGGGATCTGTCTGTACAGTGCTTGGGTTCTGCCAGAGATTGTGGATTTGGTGTATAACTCCAGTTTGCAGTATGTAATACATCTGTTGTGGGCTACCAAGGACAGCATTGTATGTCATGCCCTGTCTGGAAGGAGCTACAGAGCAAACAAAAGTCATTGACATGTAAGGCCTGGGCTTATGTGGGCAGTACACTGGGTATGTCCTGGGCAGAAGGTACCAGAGAAGAGTGGGAAATCTGCTTGAGGCAAAGCTTTCTTAGTAGTAGAGGAGAGAGATGGCACCCACTGGCAAACGGGCATGATAAATGCCACATGTAGCAGTACCTGTCTTCTTCCTGGAAAGACTTACTGACCTAAGTTGGAGGCTCCTGGCAGATGTTATACTTAAGAAGCGATTAACCCATTGCACTAACAAAGTGTAATAATTTTGTGGCTGGTTCCCATCCCATCTTAAATTGAGAGCACAGCAGAGCCCTGAAGGGCTCTGGTGTGCTCCCCAAACAGCTGACCAGTATGCTGAGCCATTGCTGCTTGCTGGTGCAGGGGGATCATGATCACAGGCTCCCTTTGCATCCACAATTAGGGCGTGATTGGGGTCCGATCCCCAATCCCACAATCATGACTCTTATCATGCACAGATCAGATCAGTCCAATGTGTGTGAAGGAGTTTCTCCCTTGTGGGAACTTTCTCTGAAGGCAAAACAAGAAGATGCTTTCCAAACAGTAAGATCCTGTGAATAGTTAGCAGCTTGGCAGGGCTGGATGAGCAGAGGGAGTGAAACCCAGGACCCTTCCTTCTCAGCCCCCCATCTCGTTGTGGGTGCAGAATTTCAGCAAGTTTCTATGTGCTGCCTCCTTGGGAGGGGCAAGCACAGCCGCAGAGTCTCATTTGTCTGGGAGGTTTCCACTCTTGCTTCACTTACTGTTTTTGGAGAGTTAGTGACCAATGAGCTGTCTCTCTTTCTCTTGTTAGTCACTTCAGAACAAATTGAACATCTTCATCGAAGATTCAAGCAGTTAAGTGGAGACCAGCCAACTATCCGGTAGGGCGCTGCTTACCTCCTGTACTCTGTTAATTGCTCTGGCTGCATTTTTATAGAGTCCCCTTTTATCCTGCCTATGTGCTCTCTCTGTGGAGTTAGCAAGCCTGCTAAAGAGCTATCTGGTTGGTACTAGTACAATGGCTTGCAGGTGAGATCTTGTGGAATTGCTTTAAAAGGGATTGAAACCTAGAGAAATGTTCTTATTTCAGAAGACACCATCTCTGACTTGGATAGAGCGAGGGGAATACAGTGCTGCTACAAGGAGCAATGGTGGTTTAGAAAGAGACGATCAACTTAATTCCTGATCTCTTTCAGGTTACTGAGGGCATTTTTCCACACAAGTCAGATATTAATGGTAAAGTCCTGGTTGAATCCCAGTTTGGGTAGTTACCCAGGTTTCCCTTGCAGTTGCAGGTATAAATTATTTTCACTTCCTGGCCTAGACAGCTCAGCACAATCATGTGCTGTGGACTGGCAGCCATCTTTCCCAAGGTGGCTACACCTCTTTGGCTGGCACAATACTTTAAACTGGTTAAAATATTTTCATCAAAACTTTTTTCCCCCCCAACAAAAAGTAGCTGTTTTGACCAAAATAGATACTGTCAAGCTGGAAATAAAATCTATAAACTGTTGGTAAATACGTACAGTTTTAGAGAAACAGCTGGGCTTTTTTAAATCAAAATATTCTTAGGAAATTTTGAAAAACAAATAAAGGAAAACCACTTTCTGGGCTTTCTTTTGAAAATGCTATGGTTAGTTTCTGACCAGTTCTTTAAAGCAGGGTTTCTCGACCTGTGGGTTGTGACCCAAAAGTGAGTTGCAAGAATATATGAAAGGGTTGTGAACAAACTTTAAAAATGGGTTCTCCTTTAAAGGAGGAAACATGGGCGTTTCAGCCTGCAAGAGGCTGCTTAGGCCCCCCTCGACGTCCCAAACCCTGCTCTGCCCCCCACCCTACATACTGGGGCCTTGTGGCTGGGGGCAGTGGGTGGGGAGTGAGGTGCATCGGCAAAGCCAGGAGGCTGTTTTTTACTTAAACTATTTACTGGGTCAGGACTGGTCATCTGTTTACAAATGGGTGCTCTACAAAAAAGGTTGAGAACCACTGCTTTAAAGCATGCGTTTTAAGTGCAACAAGGCTGCTTCATAACTTACTTGGTTGCTTGTGTGTCTTGTTTTTTGGGGTGGCTGGTCGACAGTGGAACAGTGCAGGATTACAATGCCCCAACCCTGTCTGCAACCTCTGCCTGTATAACAAATGTCACAGTATTGAGGCATAGCAAGCATAAGGGAAAGGGCAGGGAAAAGATCAGGGAAGATTACACTGACAAATCTGGTCGTCATTTCCTGTTACACTTCCAGGTTTGCCGAATCCTTGCCTAACTGTATCCAAAGGGGAAATCTCACGTTAGTAAACTGATTGTTCCTGTTCTTAATAAGATTGGCTCTAATAGGCAATGGTTGTTGGAGGGACATTTTCACACGTGAGCAGGTATTTACCTCTGAGCATAGCCACTTCTTGGAGACGGCGCACAATGTTGCGATAAGGGGGAAGAAGCTGAGTCATAGTAAGAAAACATGAGGCAGCATAAAAGGAAGTTCCCTCCCTCTGCTGTGTGTGCAAGGTCTCTGTTCTTCCCATATTGGCGTAATTGCTCCTGTGAATTCAGGCCAAGACCTGGCAAGAAGAGGTGGCTTAAAACAAGTCTGCCTGGGGCTTTAGTTATTGTTGCAGGCATCATAAATAAAAGATTATCATGTCAAGAAGCACAAAAGAACCCCTGGCGCTTCTGTGAGAACATGGTGGGGCTGCAGAACATGTGGGTGTGTTGTCTGGAAACCAGCTTTCGCTGGATGCAGTGCCCACAAAATACCAGGAAGCCTTTCAAAGGAAGAGGCATTTTCCCCTGCGTGGATAAATGGTAGTGAGAAACTTCTGCCCTAAATGGAGTGTGGGTGGGAGCATTTTCTGGAAATGCTTCCCAAAAGGGGGAAGGGTAAGCAAGTATGAAGAGTTTACCCAAAGTGGTTAAAATGCTGCTGATACTAAGGCGACAGAGCAGAGTTCTGGTTTTTTTCTCTCTCACCTTGCTGAGACTGGAATGAATCCCCAGGCTGCAGGTAGCAGGAGACTAACTTCTTGAGATCCCTTACTTGGGGCCCTGACCCACAGCTCTAGATGCTCCTGGTTCTCGCTTGGCAAAGGCGTTAGTTTAGCAGCCTTGCCAGCAATTGGCCCACAAGGGGCTGTCCGATAGAGTGGACCATCTGGATTTGATGGGAATAGCTGGTGAGTGCTGGCCTGGGCAGTGGGCTGCAGGGATACTACTGGGGAATCTGAAGCTGCTACGTAGTTGCAGGGATGTTTACCGACCTGACTCTTCAGTGGGGGTGAGGAC